TGTTTATTATTGAATACATATCACATATGATATAAAGTTATATGTTCCACAGCCATAATTTTCAATTGACAGCACCTGAATAACCTCTTTAGGACATTTTAATCTTGGCTGAATTGCGGACCTTTCCCACTGAAATACCATCTTTGTGGAACAATGCTACTTTTTCACTTACAGTCAATATCGTTACTCATTCTTTATTTGAGAAAAAAAACGATCTGCAAAAATGGTCTTTAATTATGCACAGATTCATCACACTTCATGGATCCTCAATATAATGTATTGTCCTGGTATTACAATTGTACAATTTCTGATTAGTATTGTATTTTCATGCTACTTGAATGTTGCATTAGTTACACAACCTATTGTTTTTATGTTAGAGTTCTGATAAATTATAAAGGTTTGAGGTGGATTTCTTCATAAGAGCTCTACTGACAGTTTTCAATTAAATTCCATTCAGTTTTTTTAGTTATAACTGCCAATCATAACAGAAGGTTTATCTCAGACACTTTTCAAATAGAGCAGTCTAGACCAAAGTTCCTTTACCATTTACAGAACCAACAGAACCACCATGAGCAACACTTGGTGACGGCGGGCAAGGAAAAACTGCCTTTTACAGGCAGTAAACCGTAAGGACGAGACCTTCGGGCTGCTAGGTGGAGTGTGGTCGTCTGCCTCGAACAGTTGGGGTTAGAGAGAGAGGGACAGGGAGAGGCAGAGAGGGAGAGGCAGAGAGAGAGAGGGAGAGGGCAGGTAGAGGGGTAAAGAGAGAAAGACAGAGACAAAGGTGCACAACAACAGTAGCAACAACTATACTAATAGAATGACTGATGATGATGACATCAGCCCCAACGATGTTCTATTTCTTTTAAATTCTATATAATAATATATGTATTATATTATATATTTTAATGTATGCGCAAATAATAAAATAATTACACTGCATGTGTGAAAAACAAACAGAAAAAGCAGAACAACCCTTTACTATGTCTCTTTCCAGGAATCATGCAGACCTTGTTGTAAGCAGTTTCACACAGGAACTATTTTCATAATCTGACCATAAAATAATAAAGGCACAATTCAGACACAATAAAAACACTGATGTCTTTATTGCTTCAACTGCTGTAAGAACGACTTACAGAGAAATCCAAAACACACCGACATTTAAGCACAATCACTCCGATCAATCTGAGGAAAGGCACAAAAACGATAGAAAAGAATGGTCCGCTGGAGAGACTCGCTGCAGCCTTTTCAGTCTCGAACACTGATGGTCTGACTGAATGCTGGAGCGCAGTGAGCTGTCCAACATCAGGCTGAAAACAAACAACGAGCCAGCTTTCTGAGTGCTCCACATACTCACACTCAGTTATTGCTCAGTCAGAAATACTGTGAAGTTAGCAGATAAAAACAAATACAGTACCAAGTCAAAGTGATACCAAACTGTACATATGGCAGATGGGTACAACCCTGCTAAGTTAAGACATCTTAGACAATTAACACTGAGAGTGATGATGGGTGGTCATTCGGACTTAAATGGTAAATGGTAAACGGACCTGTACTCCTATACTTACTGTGTGAGGGGCACTGCAGGATCAAGATACACATTTATATAGCAAATGAGCGAGATTGGTGAAAAAGCATGGCCACCATCGACCACCATATGCTCACTAAGGGCGGGGCTTATAACTTTTGGTCATAACTTTTTGATCATCTGTCCAATCATCATGAAACCTCTGATTAGTCTCAGTCCTTCTTTAAACAGAATTAAACTGTATGAAGTGATGTTGTGACACTTTCATTTTTGCCGATTGAGCTGTTTCTTTCTGTGGAGCACAAAATGGTTTTAACGCGCTCATTACCACTTGCGACGATACATTTTATTTCTTTTCTAGGTGTTTCATAAAAATTTAAACCACCCTTTCATATACAGTTAAAATAAAAACATATTTTTTAAAAATGATTTCTTTTGGCCTTCATTTGTTGTTTGTCTGCAAAAAATATAAAAATGTATAGAAACTGCTGTTTGCATTTGTTTTTAAGTACAACGTTAGTAACGGAAATATTTCCAGAATATTGCTCTTTCTTGTAGTACTTGAACCTTGAAGTGGTCCTCCTATGAGATGACAATACCAACAGTGGCCCCAAGCCAATCTGAGTTTGAGAGCCCCCATATGAGAGCTGCCGGGACATTTCAGTCTGCTAGCATGGCTAATAACATCTTGACAAATAGAAAAGAGCAGCAGCAAACAGATAAACCTTTAGGCGTACCGCTTCACAAACATAAAGCTTCCTCAGTCAGCATGAAACCATCTGTCACTGAACATCTCCAGAGCAAATTAAGCTACTAACTGTGCACTCACACTGTCGACTTTTTTGTAGATTCTGAAGCATTTTACATTTTTATGTATTAATCACATTTCACAGCCAAAGAGTGAATGGGTTGTAATGTAATTTAAAAAAGGAGACCTTCCCTGACTTTGTCTGCTGCCTGTGGATTTATTTATTTGTTTCCATGAAGGGATGAGGGTTGGATTTTCAGTCCCAAGTCTCCACTGCCCTAGAGTCCACTAACATCTACAAACGGCCGACACTCACCACAACACAAAGTCAAAGCCAACATTACTGCAAAGCTTGTAGAACATATTGTGAGGCTGTGGTTATAGTGGACTAATGTTAGCTGACACGGACAAATTACTAGCTAGCTAACATAGCAAAATAATCAGCTAGCTCCAGCCAGACTAGTTAGTAGCATGGAGCTAATGGTCCAAACAGAATATAAAAACACTACAGATAGTAACGTTATTCTAAATATGATTGTAATTTATGTTCTTTATTTTTTTGTGTGTCACTTTTGGCCATATGGAGAGTGAGCAGCAGGACGCTGGCTGCAGTTAACAGCCACTGGTGTCACTATTAAATTTTTTTTGAAAGTTACATATAGAACCTTTAATACTGCAAAACTGATGTGAAAATACTTTGGGTAGGTCATTTTTCTTTGAATGTGCCACATGTCAGCTTACACTATGCTTATTACCTTTCACATTTTTATATCCTGTCTTAATTTGACTCATCTTTTATCCATTAAGTTTCACTGTGCTTCATATTTTGTCTAGATGATTTAATCTCATCTGTATATTTTATATCAATGTCCCCATTTTAATTATCTAAATGTTTTATCAGCATGTTTTAAAATGTGCTCTATAAACACACAGACTTGTCCTGTTGTGATCAGTGCTTTTATATCTTGTCACTGACCTCTGAACTCACAGTGTGAATGCACACACATATCACACATATGCTGTTAATTCATTTCAGCAGCTGTAAGTTCAATGCAAACTCCTATTTGATATTGTGATAACAGCTTCAGGTGAATTGTGTCATTCACACAAACTAATCCTATCTTCAGAGTACACGCAAAATTAAATAAATAAAGAGTAACAGATGTATTGAAGTGATCTTGTGGCTGTGGTAACGTGAAAGAGAGAGTAAAGTAGGAAAATAAAGCAGATGTGCGTTGGTGGACCCTGCAGTAGAGGAAAGGAGGGTCTGAGTGCAGACGAGCTCAGACGGAGAGGGACACGAAGCTGTTGTACTGCTCGATGTTTCTCTTCAGGATGTCGGAGCAGGGACCCAGGACTCGCTCGAACCGCGGCCGGTCCAATTTGACACACTTGAGGGGTCCGCATGCAACAACAGTGGCAGCGCGGGGCCGGTTCATCAGCAGGGCGATCTCACCTGAAAGATAACAAGTCACACAAGGTTCACATATATGATGCTGATGGTGTCCTGCTTTGGTCTTTTTATATATTTGGGATACTTTTTTAAAAAAATACACAACATCTAATTCTAACAGCAAGGCAGTGTTAGCAACTAGCTGCTCACACTGACGAAGTGGCTGCACTGTAGGTGACACGTCTGTCTGACTTACCAAAGTAATCTGACGGTCCGAGTCTGCCGACCTCTACAAACTCCTCGTCCTCTGACCGCCTCTGAAGCACTGCTGCTGTCCCCTGACAGCACAACAAAGACATCTTAAAGTACACATCCCAGAAAGCAACAGCAATTTTCAGGAAATCCAGATCCAAGATGCAGATGGGCTGATTATACATCCCAGTTTCTCCAGAGAATAGCCACTGGAGCTGCAGTACAGCCTTCATTTGTTGTAGGTTAAATTACGGCTGGGCAATTTACCATTCTGATCATCAGTGGGATGAACTGACATTAATCTTTAGTTTCACACCATACACCACTGAATGTCCTACACCAACCAGTTTGGGCTTCCACAAGGTGGTGCGTACCTCCAGGATGATGAAGAACTCATCACCGGGCTCTCCCTGCACCACGATTTTCTGGCCATCCAAAAACTGCACCGTCTCCAGAGCGTCTGCCACCGTCAGACGCTCCCACTTATCCAGAGACTCTGTTCAGGAGAGACACTGGGCTCAACGCATACACTCATCTGGATATAGCAGGTCAATGATGAACTGATGAGACAAGTTCTCACCTAAAATGGACACCTTGCTGAGGAACTCCTCATACATCTTACGCTTTCTCAAAGTGCTCCCCTAAAACAGAGAATAATTACGCCACAATTCATCATTTGCCATAACTGTGGTCAGATTTCCATTTTCCAGGACTGGACAGTTTACCATCAGTATTCTTCTGTAGCTGTCTCTGTCGATGCCCCACAGCTTCACATTGGACTTGGCCCGGACTGTAGCTGCCCGAGGGGTCCCATAAATTAGAGCCAGCTCCCCAAAACTGCCCCCCTCGCCAATGCTGGTCACCCATTCGTTGTTCACGTAGACCTAGAAGGAGACAGATAGCAGAAGTAGCAATTGGTTAGGTTTCTAATGACGTGGCATCCATCCATTAGAGCTACCATATGACCCTATGGTAGTCTGGGTGGAGGGGTGAGTCTGATACCATTCTATGCTTCGTATCTGATCAGCACTGCCTAATTTGACTGACTCACTGAGAATGACCTGTC